AGAAATTCCAGAAATATTTAGGCATAATTGTTGCATTGGTGCATGGAGTAGGAGCGAGAGTGGGGAACAGCCAGCAAGTGGTAGAACCATCTTTGTTTCCTAAATACCAGTGCCTTAGTGCACTTCCGCAGATACTCTGACCACAGAAAACCTGTGCTTCTTTGTTATTGAACTTATCCTCTCTATTGTCATTAGAAGTAAACATAAGGGCAGAACACACATACGCGCGCGCACACACACACACACAGAGCACACAGAGGTTATGATTAGGGAGTGATTGAGTAATTCTGATTAATTTTTTTGCTTGAGTTTTCTTTTTTTTTTTTGCTCATTTTAAACAAACGAACAAGTATTCCTTTAATAATGAAAGGGATCTCCTTTAAAGAGAGGCAAATGCCTCATGTACCCAACATGAAAACACAGCGCATATTTATTATTGATTGATTAAATCTGTCAGCATTTTGATCCACAGCAAACACAAATTGGGTTTTGCTAAAGCTCCTTGGGGCCTCTCCGAAAGCAGGCTTTTTACATGATTTTGGAAAGTATCAGGTTGAGGTATGCAAACCAGTCTCTCCAAGTGGAATTTAACATAATGCATTAAGAGCGCAAGATTCAATAGAGGATTTCACTCCTAAGCTGTTGATCATTCTTTGTAAGGAGCGTTAAGCTTTCACTATTGGCCAGACGGATAAAGCAGCTGCTCCCTAAAGACAGCAACACCCTGAGCAAAACATCGCCAATGGAAATCTACAAGGATAGAAAGAGATGCAGGTATCATCTGGAAGGGGTGGCTGGCAATGTTGGAGCAGTATCACTGCATTTATCTCTCCCCGAGGTCCAGCATCTCTCCCTCTGACTGAAGTATTGTTGAGAGGGCAGTGCTGGAAGCTGTGTTAAGTGCTGGAGAACCGATTGTCAGCACCTTAAATTGTTCACCAAGAATGAGAAAAAAAAAAGAATGTGAATCCAAACATTTCATCAAACTTGATGCCCACAAGCCAGTTGAAGAGCCAGAGTTCATGGGCTGCTCAGGCAGAATGAGGCACCCCTAGGCATGCTCTATGTCTTACGGGTGCACAGGACACCAAGCCACACTGGTGGTTAGGGAAACCTGACTTTGGTTTATTTATCAGATCTCACTTTGGTGACATATCTTGGATGCAGCTAGTTTGGTAGACTTTATATTTATCTTGGAGGAAGGGTGGTGGGCAGCGTGTAAGGGTCCTGTGCCACAGGTGACATCTCTGCCCTTGTGTGTCTTGGTCAGTTGTGCAGGTGGCAGTCAGCTCCTTCTCCCTGAACCTCTTCCTTTGACTGCAGATGGCCTGCATGTCTATTTAGACTCTAAATCCAGTAAGGTTGTTTCACTTTAAATTTGCCATTTATCTTTGATGTTGATGGTTACTTGCAAGAGTGTAACAATGTTAATGGGTTTTTGTGGCCATGTTTAAGAGTGTCACTAGAAAAGATGTTTCATCCTTGTTAATGTTAACCTTTAATCTATTTATAGTGTGTGCATCTCATAATAGGCATCTGAAACATGGTGTTTCAAAAGAGTTTGTTTTGGGGGCACAATGTAAAATGTATATTGCATTGATGATGGTCAGGAGTTGGAAGCTCACCAAAATAAATGGATGGACCAGCCAGCTAGCTTGGCTAGCATGTCTGCTAGAAGAACAGTCCTCAAAAGTTACTGCAGAGAACAGTTACTTGGAGAATTTTCAAAATCATACTGCCTAGGCTACTCCTCACCTCAAATTGAAACAGCCGTTGGTACCACTAGGCATCATTTGCCCAAACCAAATGATTGCAGTGAGCAGGCAACATTGGGAACCATTCATTACCACATAGGGAAAAACTGTTCATAAATAAATAAATAAATAAATAAATAGCTACTGGTCTCATGTGGTGATTTAAAATTAATATCATTTTAAATTAGTTCCTCCTTTGCAATATCGAAGGTGCTCTGTAGCCACAGATGACCTGTGTGACATGGACAGGGTAGAGTTTTGGAACATTGCCAACACTGAAAACATTTCTATCATACCACCTGGAAGCAGAGTTCTAGGTTTTTATGTAGTTCCTTTATATAAGACTACTAACTGACCACACTGGCTGAGAATTTGCAGTAAAAACTTCTTGCCATAGATTTGCTATCTTGACAGCTATCCCTGCAAGGGTCTGGTTTTCTACTAGAGGGCTGATGAGAAGCAAGTGAGATTTCCTGGGGATACCTCCAGCCTTCCGAGAAGAAAGACAATGATGTGTAGATTGAAGCAGTCATGTGCCTTACTGAGCCTGTGGCTAACGTTGGTACCCACGTTTGTCCCATGTTGACTCTGTCTACATCTTGGCCCAGCTATCCAGATGTCAGCCTCTGCAGCAGGCACTGCTTAAGTTCTGAGGCTCAGGAAAACTCCCTGAGTCACATATGCTTGTTTGTCTTAAAATTTCTCACTGTGAACAAATCCTCCTTAGAAACCCTCCCTACTCTGGGTTTTTGAGTCTGAGGAAGCATACACGCAAAGCCTCAACTGTTGATCAACTTGACACACAACTTGCCATCCAGTTAGAAGGTGACAAGTAGAATTTCCTTTCATACTTGGTAATGGTTAAATGATTGGTAATGATTAAATCAATCAATCTATCTATTTATCTATGAGGTTTCTCAACAAGTGTCTAACTTCATTACAATGTAGGGAGGTTGGCTATAAAATGCTCCCAAAAGAATGCTATGGGAATGAAACATCTAAGAGTAAGATCAAAAGCTGGAACTGTTGATTTATTTGGAAATATCACACTGATAATGCAACTCCATTTGACTTCATTGAAATAGTTTCATTTTCAGAAACTTTTTTTTTTATTGGTGGGGGGAAGTTGGATTAGAAACAGCAAAAAAAAAAAAAAAAAAAGGGAGAGGGTGATGGAGGGAAGATGCAGATCTTTCTGCTCTTTAGTGGAGGCTCTCAACATTTTGATGTTTTCATGACCTGAACACTAACTCCCATGGTTCCTAAGGTGTCTGAAGTGGCGGCTCATCAGCATGATCAGCAGTGGAGAGACTGATGTCCGTCTGCTGAATTATCATTGAGAAAACGACTCTCAAAATATTCAATATGGGGTCCACTTCCTGTCTAGCTTCCTGCTGTTGTGCCTTGGAAAGCAGTAGAGGATGGGCCAAGTACACAGCCCCGCTGGGACACCTGAAAGAAACTCCAGTTCCTGGCCTTGGCCTGGCCCAGTGCAGGCTGGCCATTATGGACATCTGATTGTGGGCCAATGCGTGGAAGGTCCTTTCTTCTCTCTCTGACTCTGCCTTCCAAATAAGCAAATAATATTTTAAAACATTTACCAGAGTACTCGTCTGAGAAAAAAAATAAAACCACAAGTAACATAAACAAAACTTTTTTTTAAGACATAGTATTAAGAACAATTTAATGCTCCTGTTTTAATATTCTTTATTCAAGCTACTTTTGGTTGTCCTTTTTTCTGTTCTTTACTGAACACACACAATTCCTTTCAGTGAATTCCTCAAAGGTCTAAAAAGTGCCATCTTGACATCCTGAAATATTCTGGAATTCTCCTAATATTTGCATAATTATATCCCTCTCACCTAAATATTCGTCACTGTAGTGGATATAAAAGTATAAGATAGAATTTGTGTTTTTTTTTAACAATTAAGGATAGATACATTATAAATGATATGAGTGTCATCTCACTCCATCTAACTCATTTCAGAGATGAAATTTAGACTTGAGAAAAAAAAATAAAACAAGCTAAATAATACAAGTGACCTGACTTAGAGGCAGCTGCTCAGTTGTGCCCATTCTTGCCTTGATTGGCAGTCCCATTGTTGACTTCCTTGATGAACTGCAGAAGACATTTCCTCCTATCCACCCCGCAAAACTTTCATGGCCGCACCTTGTGGGCCATTCATACTCATATCCTTGAGCATTTTCTGGCAATGAGCAAAGCTAGGAAGACTTGGCAAGAGTGGCCCTGTCGCTGTCATCCTCTTGTCATTTGGGCTGGAATCAGATGGGTTTTGTTATCTACTATAGGGATTATCTAATTTACCTCAGAATTATTCTGTGTTATTCTTGGAGCCCCACATCCTGGTGAATGCAGAAAAGGAATTTTGAAGTGTTTTTTGGTAGTTGTCTTTGCACATCTAAACCTAAAGGTGACTCATTCTTTTGAAATTTCTATAATAATATTATTATTTCTCCAAGTGTCTGAAAGGTAATGTCTGCATTTGAATTATTTATCCTTGAAACAGGTTGATCAATGTGTGTTAAAAAAAAACAAACCAAAAAGCAGCAACTGAAATCAAGTTAGATCCTGGCTGTTTTTATGAAAAAATGACAAGAGGAGGGTGATGAAATAAGGTTCCTGTGGGGTCTCCACTGGGATTGGAACTGGAGGCGGGGGGCTTCTGAGACCATAAGGGAGCATGCTATGAGGGGGTTCTGTGATTGATTATCGATGTCTATGATAGGCAGGGGATGGGGTGTGTGCAGATTAAGCCACCATCTGTGACACACACATTCCTCATTGGAGCACCAACTCAATTGTTGGCTGTTCCACGTCTGATCCAGTTGTCTTCTAATGTGCCTGGGAAAGCTTCTGTCACCCACAAGGAACTCAAATGGAATTCTTGGCTCCTGTTTGTGATCTGGCTAGCTGGAGTATTGTGATCATTTGGGGAGTGAAACAGCAGATGGATTCTCTCGCTATCTTGCCCTCTCTCTGAATAATAAATAGGTTAATATTTAAAAAATCAAAAAGAATAGGGAAGAAGACATTGTATGGCTGCATGCTGTGAAGATGCTTCTAATCTTGGGAGTGGAGAATTGAGCATGTGAGGAGTTAGTGGGCGATAGGGCAGCATGGGACAGTTAGGTTCACATTGAAAGGACTATTGGAAAATTTATACTTAATTCCTCAGGTGATCAAGCTCATAGAACAATGCTGAGCGTAATGGCAATATGGCTAGATATGGGGTTTTAGGAATTTAGGCCATATATATAGAACTAAAGGAGGGGAGAGTAACTGATGAGTTGGGAGACAAAGTAACAGTCAAGCATGGATCAGGTGTAAGTGCGTTAGAATTGCCTAAGGGCCAAGGATAACCCATATTCCCTTGCCTTGAGGTGTGTTAAGAGAGTCTGTGTAAGAAAACATGAGACATATATGAGTGCAGCGTGTGGTGTGTCGAACCACAGAAAGATGCTGGCTTTAACCAGGCATTGTAGAAGTATGTTGACAGGGAGTAACTATTTTCTCATCTTGGAAAATCAGTGGTTGGAATCAGTTTGATGGTGGGCTTCTTTGGAGCTAGACGTTTCTTCCCCAGTCCCCACTGCCTACCATCTTCCACAGAGCTGTCATTTCGTGGGTACTGTGGGATGTAAACTTGTTGCATGCTTGCATAAGTCCTGTGGGTTAGGACAGTCATTCCAAGTATCTGCATAATTAGGTCAATTTGCATCCTGAGCTGGGCTAGGATACTTCGACACTGTTTATACTTAGTCTTCATTTAATCTGAATTTCTAATGTTTTGGGTCACTAAAAATGAATTCAATAGACAGTTTATGAGTGCTGGGATGTTATTAATCCTTCCCCAAGCTTTGATGTGTGTGTGTGTGCGTGTGTGTGTGTGTGTGTGTGTGTGTGTGTGTGTGTGTGTGTGTTTTATGGCTTTTGACAAGATGAATTCATGAAGATTTATTATAGAAAATGGAATAAATACTGTTGCTTTACCATGTTCACCATACATTGAGGTGAAAGTAGGAAAATTCCCAAGTCTTTGTTCCTCTTGAATAAAGCATTGCCTTCGACCGTGATCGAGCCAGGCATGTAGCACACTGCACTGAATCTGCTGCTCTGCTGGATCCATTTCATGCACCAACTCAGGTGCTCTTGGCTCTGAGCCATAGGACTTGCTTGCTTCCAGAAAAGGATGACCTTGGTAATGGAGCCCAGCTACCCTTTGTCATTAAGCCAAACACGCTGTGACTGCTGTCACTGACCAAGGATTCCGTGTGTGATGCTGGCAGGAGTGAGACACGGCTAGGCACTCAGCAGACAGCATTTCGAGGTGCTCAACTTCCTCAGTGATTGCCTGAAGTAGGGGAAACAACTTGCAAGTGCAGAAGGCTCAATACCCTTGGGGTTGGATTTTCAACCATCAAGAAACAGTAGACGGGGAGACAGTTTGGTCACCTTTGTTTGAAGACACGAGAACTTCGTAAAGCCTTCTTTGGTACGTCCTTCTTTGGTACTTAGCTTTCTCATGAACTATGGCTAGCTTATTCATGTACTCTTTTGGTCTCTCCATCTGTGCTCTTTCTTTTCCTTTCATGTTTAACTTCTTTGCTAACTCTGTCACTCTAGAATAAAGATACAGCCTGTAAGATTTAGATTTAAGTTCTATCTTCTGTGGCTCTTTGGCTAAGATATTTTTGTCCCTGTTATTAAACTTTGAGTTCCTAGAGGGCAGAGGTCTCTTTACTACCATTTTCCTTCTGACAACACCTATATACTTAACCCGTATTTATTTGTTAGGTGAAAATATCTGGCCAACTCAAAGGAACTTAACCAAGAAACCAGAAAATTGACTCAGGTTGGTTTTAACCTTTATTGCATACCCACACTATACCCAAATACTGGTTTAGCCTGCTGTGCCTGAGAAAGTGCTCGGAAGCTTGACCTTAGAAACACTCAAAAGGCTGTGTGGCTGTGGACCCCACAAGAAGGGCGAGGCTGGGATGAAGAACATTTAGGTAACCCCAGGAAACAGGAAGTATGTCCCTTCATTTTCCCCCCTCCCATTTTCAGTTTTTAAAAACTTTCCTATATTCGTTTTCTTTTTTTCCCCTTCCTTCCTTTCTTTCTCATATCTCCAGTTCTGTCTCCATTCTGCATTTGGTGGTCCAAAATATGATCTCTTTGCACCTAATAAATTCTTAACCCAATGACATTTTTTAAAAGAGTGAAATTAATGAAAAGGATTAGAAAGGAAGCCAAAATATATTCCTATAATGAAAATAACGTGTCACATGTGTTAGTGGACTCTGTTCCATGTGGCTTCTGAAGAGCATGAAGAGAACCAAGGAGCGTGGGACAGATCCACCGTGCTCACGAGCTTCCCTTGCAGAACCACAGCCCTGGTGATGCTTACCCAAGTATGTCAGATCCCAAGAAAGACCTGGCGGAAGACCTGACAGATGCAGACTCTGGTAGTCAAACCTTCCAAGCATCACTAGGTGTTTCAGTTGTGGGATAAACTGTCAAGGAAGGGTACTTAGTTACTAACTTGAGAGGGCAGGGAGAAGAGGAGAGACAGATGGTGTACCCATATGTTGTTTCAGCGCCTGAGGCTGGGTCATGCCAAAGCCAGGGCCTGGAATCTCAGGATGAGTCTTCCCATGAGCGGCAGGGACCCAGCTATTCAAGCCATGACCTGCTGCTTCCCAGACTGCGCATGCGCGTGCGCGGGGCCGGTGGCTGGTGCTGAGCTTGACCTCGCTGCCAGGCACATGGATGCGGATGAAGGAAACCTGAAGGAGTGTCTTTACTGCTAGACCAAAAGACTATCCCAGAAAGTTAAAGAAGATAATTCAGGGCCCAGCGCTGTGGCCTAGCAGCTAAAGTCCTCGCCTTGAACACGCGGGAATCCTCTATTGGTGCAGATTCTAGTCCCGGCAGCTCCACTCCTCATCCAGCTCCCTGCTTGTGGCCTGGGAAAGCAGCAGAGGACAGCCCAAAGCCTTGGGACCTTGCATCCGCATGGGAAACCTGGAGGACGTTCCTGGCTCCTGGCTCCAGATCGACACAGTACCAGCTGTGGTGCTCACTTGAGGAATGACTCATCAGACGGAAGATCTTTCTCTCTGTCTCTCCTCCTCTCTGTATATATTTGATTTTGCAATAAAAATAAATTTTTTAAGAAAGAAGATAATTCAGTAAGAATACATATACTTAAAAAAATTCTTAATTTCGGTTTTACAATTTTGCAAGTTTAGGGCCTCCTCCTACGTGTTTTTTTTTTTAAAGATTTATTTTTATTATGTTTTTATTGGAAAGGCGGATATACAGAGAGGAGAGACAGAGAGGAAGATCTTCCGTCCAATGATTCACTCCCCAAGTGAGCGCAACGGGCGATGCTATGCCGATCCGAAGCCAGGAGCCTCTTCCGGGTCTCCCACATGGGTACAGGATCCCAAAGTCTTGGGTCATCCTCCACTGCTTTCCCGGGCCACAGGCAGAGAGCTGGAAGGGAAGCGGGGCTGCTGGGATAGAACCGGCGGCCATATGGGATCCCGGGCATACAAGGCGAGGACTTAACCACTTGCGCCACCGCGCCGGGCCCGTCCTACGTGTTTTTTTTGAGCATTTTCTCCAGTACCCTTGGAAGATGGATTTTAGTACTGACGGTAATGATATAATCGACATGAATGAGAATAATTGGCCATGTCTCTCAAGACTGAGACTTTCTATGTAAACTGGTAGAAACAGTTTCTATCGCCATTTTGCACCGGTAGTCTTACTGTGCGCCGCAGGACACTGAGCAGCCTCCCTAACCTCCACAGCCCGGAAGTCAGCAGTGTTCTCTGCTGGAGTCATCCAACCATAGTGATTACTGGATGCTGGGAAGGGCAGCGTGGGCCTAGGCGTGGGAAGGCGGTGGAAGGGATTAGACAATGGATGCCCAAGCACAGTTCCATAGAAGGACTAGGTTGCAGGGTTCTGCAGGACAGTGCAGTGACCATGGCTCACAGTAGTCTGCTTTGCTCATGCATTTCATGAATAACTGAGAGATGGGTGCTCAAAGGCTCCACACTCAAAGTATCGATAAGGATATGGAGATAAGACTTACCATGACCTAGTCTGTACACATTGTATGCATACATTGGCCATCATACTGCACTCCATGTATATATACCATTAGGTCTTAATGAAAAATTTGTTTAAACACCAAAGAAGAGCAAAATGCTAGCTACCCATTACACACTGGGTGCTTGTATTAAATAATATATTCTGTAAATAAATACAATTAACACTCTTACCAGGTAGTGCCAACTGTTCCCTCCTGGGCAACGTGGCTCTTGGGCGAGAATCACTGGGAAAGACTGTCCCCTGGAGAATGACTGCTTCCCTTCCTTATGTTTTCCACAAAAAAAGCAAACGGAAGAGAGGTCTTCACAGACACTGAGGGGCCTCCGGGCTTGCTAGCAGTGCCTGCCCGTGTTTACACACGGCACGTGGGTCTGCTTAGTCTCCAGGCAGTGTCCTGCAGACTGCGGCTGTCTTCCTGTCCACCCGGAGACTCCTAGGAGGCCGGGAGCAGGGAAGCCAGGAGAACCCCCACCCCAGTGCCTACGTGAGTGACAACCATGAACTGATTTATGACCCAAACGCTATTTGTACGCATGCATCAAATAAAACTTGAGACTTCAAGACACGAGCTGCCGTGTTCACTCCCTGCTCCCCCATTTTCATTTGTGACAACCGTTTAGGACTAGGTCTTTTCTGAATCTCTCTCTCTCTCTCTCTTTTTTTTTTTTTTTGGTAACAATAGCACTCTGTCATTTCCAGAAAATGTTTTAAATTAGTATAAAACTTGGCTAAATTTAGCTTTTATAGAAGAAAGAATAAAACATAATTAACTGTTTCAAGAAGAAAACAAAAACCACATGAAGGAATGAGACTTGCTGGCGAGAAATCTAACGGTAATGCTCGGTAGCTAACCCGTCTCCTGTGGAACAGATGTTCTCGAATTTAAACGAAACAGGATGGGCAAAGAAGGCATTCATGATAAAAAGTCGTGAACGGCGTGAGGGGGTTTGTCCGGTGCAGGTGTGGGGCTGCGTCTGAGATGCTGAGAGATGGGACTGCAGGACCTGGAGTGGGCTGAGAGGAAAAAAAAACACCTCTCCACATGGCAAGAAATATGGCCAGGCTGAATGTGTAGCAGGCCCCAAGGAGTGCAGCCTGCTTGCTATTAACTGCCAGGCGGAGTGGGAGCGTGGAAAAGCCACCCTCTGGTTTAAGTCTTTTGGAGATTTTTGCCCCTGGCTGCAGCAGAACGTACCAGGGGAGTTCAAAAACTTGGTGGAGAATGGAGTTCAGGAATAAGTTCACTGTAGTGCTGAAAAGCCACTGAAATCCAAGCAAAGATTAAAAATTTTTTTCCATAAAATACACTCCTGCAAGTCTCTCAGAATAATAAATAAACCAGATTTCCAGGATTTGTTTATCTATTTAGTCACAAGATAAACTTGTCTTTCAATTCCACTTCCATGGATTAGCGAAGTCTCCTTCTGTAATATTTTCTGTATGGGGGGGGGTGGAGGCAATCATGCCAGTTAAGGATATTTTTTTCTTCCTACCCAAGCTACTTGGTAAGGTGGGTTAGAGGGGAAAGGGTTAATTTGATTTAAAAACTGAGAATGATTCTGTTTGGCCTAAAAAAAAAAAGCCTCCAGCAGAGAACAGAGCAAAGAGGCAAAGAGACAAAGGATTCTATTGTGCCACTGACTTAGGCGTGCCACGTCTCAGACACAGGACCTAGCCTGAAGCAGGCAAGACCACGCACACATGGGTCCAATCTTTGTCACCTAATAAAGAGTCATTGAATCAAAGACCAGGTAATCATTTATTCTGCCAGAGCGACGAACACAACATTCTTTCTTTACTACTGTCTTTTCTTGATACTCAGGCAATTGTTGTTATTATTATTGTTGTTTTTACTGTAATATTTTAAAAACGCAGGAGGACTTGCTTGTTTACATGTCATTGCATCATGGTGGCCCTTAGCCAAAAGGAAAAAAAGAGAGAGAGAGAGAAAGAGAGAGTAATGTATTGCTGAGCCAGAGCTCTGTGGGTGACTCATGAACTCTGTGGATAAGGCCTCTGGGATCACCCAGCTGCTTCGTCACCAAGCTGCCGTTTGTTCCTCAGGCCTCACACATCTTCTTGGGTTCATAATGAATTAAAAAACAAGCACCTTGAGATACCTCATGCATAGCCACTTTTTATTTGAGGTCAGTATCAATGTCATCCAGAGATGACTTGTTTCAGAGGGAAAAAAGATTTTGGAACAATTGGATCAGAAAGCTTTCTTGGACTCTCTGTGTGGTGTTCTGGATGTGTCTTTCGTGTCATACCTGCTCCCATGAGATGACGTGATTTCCTGATGACGAAACAAACCGGGAAAACGTGCCTGTCACCTGAATGCATGGCGAGAAAGCCCTTGCTGCCTGAGTGAGACTGCTTTTCACCTGTATTTTCTGAGTTTTACCAAGGGAAATGTCACGTGAGCTGAGCTTCCTTTTTCTCACTTTCTCTTTGATGAGAGAAACGCAAACGGTTCTCATGTTGCAAAAGAAATGAGAAGTTTAACAGCTCTTCCTGCACGTTTCCTGCAAAGACAGCACGCCTGAGTGCATCAGCTTTTGTAGCCACCTACTTTGGAGGCAGTGCTGTATCTCAGATGGGCACAATGCTAGGCCACTCAGTGTCAGAGACGAATTCTAACGCTTTGAGCAACACGTGCAATTAATACACCATGAGTTACGTAACATTCGCAGGGAAAAGTCTCAAGCATAACTATAATGAGAAGGAGATATGAAATGTCTTTACATATCATTCATTTTTTTTTTTTCTGAATCAGCCCGATGGCCATTGTGCTGTTTCCAAGATCTCTAAAGTTGTTTGATGGAGTTAAGAGCCCATCAAAATGAAAAGTGAACGAATGCTTCCTTAAGACTTTGTATTTAACTAAACTATATACCAGCTTCTGATTTCTGGCTAAACTAGCACTCTTTATAATAAAAACATGTTACGTGTTATTCTCTCTTCAACTTAGCAATGTTCTTAGTCTGACAGCTTTCTCAGGTCCAATAGGAAAGTTTCCATCCTCATGTCCTCCCGCTTTTCTTTCTGCTTTGGGCTCACCCACCTCTCTTTCTCCTTTTCCTTCCCTGACTCCTTCCGTGCTTTCCTTTGGCATCTGCCAAATGCCACATCTGTGGAAATGCAGAACGCACATTGTTTAAAAACAAGGGTGGAAACTTGGCATCTCCTGAAAACCTTTGTGACAAATGCCATTCTCTCTCTTCTTGATGCTGCCGTTGGTAACAGGCCCTCCTTGTGCCTCTGCCCGCACAGACGGCAGCAGGAAGGACTAGCCCGCCATGATCTCTTTGGCTTAGACGTTCCTAAGAACACCCTCAAATGGTTGAAAAGTAGAATTTTTTTTCCTCATTTGGTCAAGTGTTGGGATCAGAGGGATTCATTCCCCCCTGCCCCCAGCAAATCCCATTCTGAGGAAAACTCCTATTAATCACTATTTTTCTAGGTTCAGTTCATGAAGAAAAATGTAAAATATACAAATTTCATATTGTAATTAGTTTCTTCATAAAAGTTTTTGAGATGAAACTTATAAACAACGTAGACAACTAGATGACCACAGGCAACATACTGTGCCCATATTTGATGCTTTTAAAAATAATGAAGTTGGTTTTATAACTAATACATGTCTCTATTTTAGGGCATCCGAATGGGTCAAGTGGTGGGTTTTCCATCCAAAAATTACGCCAGAATGCAATACAATCCAAGAAACACAATTGAATACTTTCCTATGGCCAATGTACAGATTTTCTTATAAGAGTGACTTTTGTAGAGAGCAGTCCCAAAGAACAGATGCTGTTAGCAGAAATGATCTGCTGTACCGGCCTGTCAGTCGCTGACACAGC